AATTGTGACTGACATTTTATACCCCAATAACCATCACTACAAGCTACACAATTACCATTATTCTGGATACAACCACCATTACAATTAGTAGGACATAGTGTATCACATTTATTACCATAATAATCAGAATTACATCCACCATTATTACAATCTCCATTATCCTGTTGACATCCTTGTTTACATTTATTACAGTTGTCATTACATTTCATACCCCAGAAACCTTTTTTACATCCACCAGTACAGTTACCATTACTCTTCTGACATCCATTATTACAGTTTCTACAGGACTTCTGACATTGATAATTCCAATATCCAGGGTTACATTCTATAAAGGAATAACCAGTTTGTTGACATTGATTACAGTTTCTTACACATCTTCTGTTACAAGTATTTCCTCTGTACCCTGGTTTACATCCATTGATACAATAACCATCACCCTGTCGACATTCATCATTACAATTAGTAGAACACCGTTTATCACATTTATTATCATAATAACCAGACTTGCAATTGTTACAGATACCATTAGAATTACAGCCATCTTTACAATTACTTCCACATTCTAGAGTATTATCAGATGAAGTATAGTGATGCTCTAAAATAATTAAGTCAACATTTTAGTGACATTTTCCTTTGTTATTGCACACCTAGAGAATATTCACATGCTAGCAATATTTATTTGGAAGATTAATCTTTTGCTAAAAATGGAGATTAACGTTGAGATAAGAGAAAATGTGAATTGACGAATCGTCACTTAATCAGTGTTGTTTCAATTTCAATTTCCTGCTAGAACTACGTGAGTCAGTCGGTTTGATATCCTCAAGATTACCTGGCTGATGATTTCAGATGAACAACTGAGTCTATCAGAGGTAAAAATTTATCATTAATTATGATATTGATACATTCAATAAATCTGAAAACTAGTGATAATAAAAACATCTTACTTTCAAATATTTCTACTTCACAGAGTGTGAGAAGTTTGTCTCCTTGTTTGGGATTTTCTACACTAATATATACATATCTACCATTAAACTGTATATTTTGTTGTTGATTACAACTGTTTATATTGTAGATATTTTGTGTTGTTGTACTAGTATCTTTATAACAAACTGTAGATTTTTTATATCCATTATAATTACATCTACCATTAGAACTTAATCTTAGCTCAAAACCTTGTAATCTGAATTGATCTGTAAATGAGAAATTTAAGTTTGAAGATATCATGAGATTATTTTGATTACCCTTTTAGTTATATATAGAAATAAAGACACACTAAAGAAAGAAGGATGCAAATTCATGGTCACTTGTCTTTGGTATCCAGGTGATTGCCTTTTATGGTAAGAGTATCCTTATACACCTTAAGATCAGCCTGTATTTGTTTATAACAATTGAAAAAGATATTTGATGTCAAAATGATCATGTGGGTAGCTGATGACCTTTGTAATTTGGAAAAGATTTAATCAAATCAAATAAAATTTTGTCGAAAAAAGTCGTGACTATGTTCATAATAATATGACAAATTTATTTTCATTGTCAACTTTAGAATTATAAATATACATGACTGACTAAATTATTTCTCTGTGATGGATGAATGCAAACAGATCTTGTCCATTGATTTGACATCGTTGTTCTCTGGAAACAAACCAGGCCTTAGGAAAGAATATGTAAAGAGAGTTAAAACCCACGTGAATTTCTGTTGTATATTATTATGTTTTTAAAATTAACATCTCTCTGTAAATCAACACACCACCAATTGGTACCAATATTATGAGTATGAGTACAAGATCCCTGATTATAATCACTGTCAGTATTACCATCTACAGCTAACGATGATACATCAGAATAATAAGTAGAGCTCTGTTTGGTTGTTTTGTTTAATGCAACATTTTTTTCATTTTCACCTTAAATAAACAATGTATATTTTGTTAAGGAAGATAGTCATGATGTGTTCATAACAAACAAAACTTTCATTTTTTTCTGACCTAGGATACTGTACATGTAGCATATTTCTATGTGATTTTTGCACTTGTTAATCTTATAAAGTTTTGGCAACTACAACAGATACTGCAAAACTGAATCAAAATTATGATAAAATAAGATTCCATTCAATCGAAAAAATTTTTTGGTTCTATTTCATACAATTATTGGACGCAATAAACTAAAATTTGTTCTGAGTGGGTTTTTGATGTTTTAAACCCACTAGTAAAGGTTTGATCGACTAAGATTGTAGACCTTATAGTTGTTAAAAACAGTCTACTCATTATAGAAACCGAAGATAGACCCCCTTTTCTACGGATCATTCAGAAAAAAATACTGGATATCGAAAAGTTTTCAGTCCCTATAACGTGTAATTGGAATAAAAAAAAAGTAAAGCAATGGAACCTTTTCAGCTGATATATTCCAAATTACCCTGAGGTATTTTGAAGAAAAGTATAAATTAAATTTAATGAAATAAGAAGAAAACTCTCTATAATTCTTCCATTCTCTGGGCGTTGCAGCAGTTTCTTGGGATAATAGTATTAGAGTGAATGATATCAATCAATAATAAAAATAAATTCTATAGAAAATGTTTTTTCTTACCTCGAACAATGTTCAAAATATTGATAAGAATCAAACATAGATACAAAAGAATGATAAATATATTTATACTTCTATCCATGATGAGACATTCTACAGACTGACTTGATTAATATAATCTAACATAATAATTAGGATGTTCCTGTTATGGACGAGGAAGTTGATATAAAACCAACGTGTTTTAAAATCGTGGTTGCTACACAAGGACAGCTGATAAGTTATTTTCATACGCCCATATTTGATGTGGGCATACGAAGATCTGTCGAATTTATGAATAAATCAGGAATAGCTAGTAGAGAGAAACAGGTTATAATGCTTGGGAAACCTAACAAATATTATTCCATAAATTATTGTTTAATCTTTCATTCTCTTAAATATATATACCAGCAAACTTTATCACAAAACTACGAAAATCTAATGTCCTTTATTTGTAATAGCTAGTACAGTATCTATTATCTTTTTTAAACACTTCTTAGTATCATTTACTATTCCTTCTCTCAGACTCGCAGACTCAACATCAACATATAAAGTTTAATGGTCGACATCACAAATTTTATAATTTCATTTTTACCCAACATCATAGCAACAAAAGATATTTAATTATAATACCTCCTAAATTTACTCACTTATTTTTGAAATATACATATTATTTAAGAATTATAGTTCAAGCTACATCTCTTGATATTTTAATATTTTAAAGAAATGTTGCATGACTGAATGTTAATTGTTTTTCATGGACACAGTAAATGAAGGTGGCACGTGCTACAAGACAACGATCCCCACAACTACTCTTCCCCACTAGTAAGAAACCAAATGAACAAACGGTATTACTAAAACTATAGATAATAGATTTTGATGAAACGAACCGAACTGATTAAATTTGAGTGAATAATCTCTAACGCATACCTTCGTAAAGTAGGAAAACAGCGTATTTATTTCCTTACATTGTCGATGTCATCATCGCTTTGATTAGCTAACGTGATAAAAAAAAAAGAATATTATAAAGAGTTATAGTTTACTATTAAGGTTAGTACAATGTAAGGTGAAGTCTTTCTTAATCAATTAAATCTATAGGGAAGTGTCTTTAAAGGAATACTGCCATTACGAATGAACGTACAATTCAGTTTTTCAAATTTAATCGATAAGAGTTTGGACCTACCCAGTATGCAAAAGAATTCCTCTATAATTCGATAAATCCATAGAACTAGGTATTTATTCTTAAAAACGTTTATAAGCGACAGCAGTTGCGAAATTTTAATTCCTTTTTGAATTAGTCAAATGCAAATGCAAGATACTCTGATTTGTATGAAATTTATTCAAACATCTTTACGAGTTTCACCCAATGTTGATGAAGTCGCCATTGTGTATCGTCTAAGTTTCTATCTGAGTATTTAATATTTTGTTTGGTAAACAACTCTGACAACTTTAAATACAAGTTTCACAGCAGCATCATCATTTTCTGTATAACCATATCTAGTTTCTAAAGTCTTCATAATTGCATCATAGACAGAATAGTTTCAAAGACATCTTTCTCTTCGTCTGAATTTAGGTAAAAAAAAGCACCTTTGATTATTGTCTACTAAGCAAGCCATCTCTCAAATAAGTTTCTAAGAAATCGGGATAACCTGTATCAGTTTTACGATAAATTAGAAGTTTCTATGGCTTGAAATATATTAATTTGAATGAAATGTAGTGACTTTATAGATCATAATGACAAGAAATTACAGACAACTCTAAATGAGTATAGATAACACAATTCTTATAGAATACAATTACTGATTTTATTTCTAAAAGAATATCACTCATAGGATTTTATAGTCTTATATTATTACCACATGACGTCAAGCATTTAAAACTTATTATGCATAGACAATTTAGAGAGTTCAAAATGTTCAACAAAGATACATTTAAGGATGATTAAATTCAGTGACGGCGTCCCCACCACCCTCAGAAAGGAATCATGCTATTTTCGTACATTTCTATCAGGCCATTTCTGAATCCTATCTACAATTTACATACGTGTATATAGCTAATCTGCCCCCCTTAATATAATCACCACATAACGTCAAACATTTATATATGTGTGATGTTTAAGAAATTAAGAGAGTTGAAAATGTTCAAGGTTTATTTAAGGATGATCAACATCAGTGGCAGCGCCAGTTGGAATATTGTATTGTTCTTTCAAATGTTGTGAGAAATTGAGAGATTTGTAGATAATTGTAAATATTTCGATTTATTACCAGTCACAGCCAATCAAGTGTAAATATCGATAGGGGTCTACTTTCAATTTAACTAGCTCTCAATTTTCATGTTCATGATATAGTGAATTTATAAAACTGGTGAGACAATATGTAGGGTATTGCTCACGATTTTGTGTTTGATATAGGACAATTTTTTAACGAGATTATTAGAAGATTCGAGGTACATGAAATTACATGCATAAATATTGCAATTAGCAGTAATTTTCAAACTGATAAGAAATATATTTCAAATCAATAACTATAGTCATGTTCACAATAGAGACCACTGACAATATTATAGAAATGGAATAGCCAACCTCCAAATAAGGCAATGTTAAATAAGAACGATGAGTGTCGTGCCAAATATGAAACTTTTCAACAGCCGTAATTCTGATACTACCGTTTTAGACAAGGAAGATTAAAAAATATATACATGTATCGATATTTTATTTCGAAAGTTTAACATAAAAAAACTATGATATAAATTTATAAGCGTCAGCATTGTTCCCATCTTCACAATGTCATGCTGTAACGATCCTCTTGGTAATACCCTTGACTATTGTGAAGAATGATGCATTGTTTCGTGCCAAACCAACTTTAATAATGGCGTAATGCCAATGTTCTGATATAGTTAAATATTCTCCATCCGTAATACTACCGTTTTGAACAAGGAAAATTACAACCACATCTCTTGTTAATAAATAAATGGGACCGTTGTCCACTTTATCCAAAAAGTTTCGAATGAGGCGATGAATTTTAACCAATTAAAACGATCTTTTTCAGAGGGGTAGCCTGTACTCTTATATTCATATCTACAAAACAAAATGTAAAACTGGCTACGTTTAAATGTTTTGATTGGCTGATTTGAAAATCATGAATATTCATCATATCGTTCCCAAAATACGAGATTTATTTGCTATGAGAAATAGTTTCCGACGACAATGAGGATTCCTATCCATTTCAATTTGATTTTGCCAGTTCCAGGTTTGTATCAGAAATGAATAATTCTGATGATAATTAAGATTGATTATGAGCAAATCCCAAATTTTCCTCAGACATCTGATGTTGTTAACATTTAGTGATAGCTTTATAAAATATAGTTGCTTTAAAGGTCTGTAGATCAACATAAAATAGATTTCTCGTGGCCATGCCTTAGTACTTCGTGTCAACAACTTAGTATCTCATGGTCACGACCTAGCTATCTGGTCGCCACGAGTTGCTGTAGATCAACTTAAAATGCTACTGTTACTAGGAGACACGTGACCACGAATTAAAAACCCGAGGCCACGATTGAGCTATCTCGTGGCCATGCCTTAGCATTTCGTGTTCACGACTTAGTACCTCGTGGCTACGACCAAGCTTTCTCCCAAATCGCATGAATATGTCTTATAAATCTTACTTGCTGCTAAAAGGTATGCCTCATAAGTTACAACGGAAAGAATTGACTTATTAATGTATTGATACTGGAATGTCATATAATGATACCGTTATCGTTATGGCTCATAAACACAGTTATTTTGACTGTAAGTTATTTATCTATAAGGACCAGTTTCAACTTCAGAACTGGTAATATCTTGTTGAATATTCTCATATGAAGGTCTGGTAACATCTTGTTGTATATTCTCATATGAGGGTCTGGTAACATCTTGTTGTATATTCTCATATGAAGGTCTGGTAACATCTTGTTGAATATTCTCATATGAAGGTCTGGTAACATCGTGTTGTATATTCTCATATGAAGGTCTGGTAACATCGTGTTGTATATTCTCATATGAAGGTCTGGTAACATCTTGTTGTATATTCTCATATGAAGGTCTGGTAACATCTTGTTGTTCATTCTCATATGAAGGTCTGGTAACATCTTGTTGTATATTCTCATATGAAGGTCTGGTAACATCTTGTTGTATATTCTCATATGAAGGTCTGGTAACATCGTGTTGTATATTCTCATATGATGGTTTGGTAACATCGTGTTGTATATTCTCATATGAAGGTCTGGTAACATCTTGTTGTATATTCTCATATGGAGGTCTGGTAACATCTTGTTGTATATTCTCATATGAAGGTCTGGTAACATCTTGTTGTATATTCTCATATGATGGTTTGGTAGTCTCATCTGAAGAGGTATATATTACTGTTGCTTTATTTAAATTATACCGTTCATATCTGAAATATAATACTACAGAGTGGAATATATTTTAAACAGATCAATTTTATAATGGTATAATATTTTACACCTCTTCCGGAATCTTTCCCTTTATAGTGAGATAACAGAAAAGACCGTCAAATGATGATAGAAGCAAAATGTGAATAAATTTTGGCAGCCATCTTTGAATTTCAATTTGATTAGTATTAGTAATTAGTGGAACAAGTGTAATAATTTTATTGCATGTATCGTCATTTGCACCATTCCTATGTAATCTGGCCCAAAACTCCACACTTAGGAAAATTGAGATAAACGTTAAATAATATATTATAATGATAGTTTATAGTTCACTTCTGACTTTTCTTGTCTCGAAAGCCTATTAAGGAACATCGAATAAACCTAACATAAACAAGACAATTCCAAAATAAACAATTACCTTTTTTCATACAAAAATATACCAATATAACAATCCCAACCATTAGTAAAACCATTGAAGCCAGAACACCAATAATACCAGCAGCCACTGGTGATATTCCATCGAGACATTCTGAAAGAAAAATATACACAGCGTTAATAATTTGAATTGATAATATTATCTGAACAGTAACAAAATTTTCAAGTATTCTATATAATAATATTATTTTAAATGCTATGCTACAGAAACTTACCTAAATCCTCAATAGAAATTCCCCCATCAATACAACCATCTAAACAATCTCCTGTAGCTTGATCACATCTATTGATACAATTACTATTAGACTTAGTTTGACATTGATTACCATACTATCCTGTCTTACAACTTGTACATCTTCCTGTAGCTTGATCACATCCATTGATACAATTACTATTACACTTAGTTTGACATTGATTACCATACCATCCTGTCTTACAACTTGTACATCTTCCTGTAGCTTGATCACATCCATTGATACAATTACTATTACACTTAGTTTGACATTGATTACCGTACCATCCTGTCTTACAACCAGGGTTACATTTACCACTAGTTTTATAACAAGTAATAGAGGAATGATATTTACAGTTAACTGAACATCGCTCTTCACATTTATCTCCCCAGTAATAATTCTTACATTCACTACAATATCCATTGTTCTTATCACATTTAGACAGTCTACAGTTTGTAGGACATTGTGACTGACATTTTATACCCCAATAACCATCACTACAAGCTTCACAATTACCATTATTCTGGATACAACCACTATTACAATTAGTAGGACATAGTGTACCACATTTATTACCATAATAACCAGAATTACAACTGCTACAGATACCGCTAGAATCACAGCCATCTTTACAATTACTTCCACATTCTAGAGAATAATATAATGTATAATTAAATCACATATTGAGGATTTAAGAATAATTTCCATCTCGTTTAAATGAAATACATCCACCATTATTACAATCTCCATTATCCTGTTGACATCCTTGTTTACATTATTACAGTTGTCATTACATTTCATACCCCAGAAACCTTTTTTATATCCATCAATGCAGTTACTATTACTCTTCTGACATCCATTATTACAGTTTCTACAGGACTTCTTACACTGATTACCCCAATATCCAGGTTTACAGTCTGTACAGGAATAACCAGTTTGTTGACATTTATAACAGTTTCATTCACATCTTCTGTAACAAGTATTTCCTCTGTACACTGATTTACATCCGTTGATACAATAACCATCACTCTGTTGACATCCATCATTACAATAAGGAGGACACCGTTTATCACATTTATCACCATAATAACCAGAAATACATCCACCATTATTACAATCTCCATTATCCTGTTGACATCCTTGTTTACATTTATTACAGTTGTCATTACATTTCATACCCCAGAAACCTTTTTATATCCATCAATACAGTTACCATTACTCTTCTGATATCCATTATTACAGTTTGTACAGGACTTCTTACACTGATTACCCCAATTGTTATTTCCTCTGTACCCTGGTTTACATCCATTGATACAATAACCATCACCCTGTCGACACATTTGTTTCCATAATAACCAGAAGTACAGTTGTTACAGATACCATTAGAATTACAGCCACCATTACAATTAGTAGAACACCGTTTATCACATTTATTACCATAATAATATTCTTTACAATTGTTACAGATACCATTAGACTTACAACCATCTTTACAATTACTTCTACATTCTTCAATATTATCAGATGAAACACCGTGATGCTCTAAAATAGAAAGTCAACATTTTAGTTATTTCCTTTGTTATTGCAGACCTAGGGGATATATAGAATATTCACATGCTAGCAATATTTATTTGGAAGATGAATCTGGAGATTAACGTTGAGGTAAGAAGAGAAAATGTGAATTGACGAATCGTTCACTTAACAAAGATATTAATCAGTGTTGTTGTAATTTCAAGACAATGTTTCCTGCTAGAACTACGTGAATCAGTCAGTTTGATATCCTCAAGATTACCTGGCTGATGATTTCAGATGAACAACTGAGTCTATCAGAGGTAAAAATCATTAATTATGACACTGATATATTCAGTAAATCTAAGAACTGGTGATAATAAAAACAACTTACTTTCAAATATTTCTACTTCACAGAGTGTGAGAGGTTTGTCTCCTTGGTTAAGATTTTCTACACTAATATATACATATCTACCATTAAACTGTATATTTTGTTGTTGATTACAACTGTTTATATTGTAGATATTTTGTGTTGTTGTACTAGTATCTTTATAACAAACTGCAGATTGTTGATATCCATCTATATTACATCTACCATTAGAACTTAATCTTAGCTCAAAACCTTGTAATCTGAATTGATCTGAAATTTTATACAAAATAGATACAATGACAAAAACAAACAAAAAGTGCTCAATACATCAATAGTAGAACAGAGCCTAAATAACAGTGTTTCCCAACCTCAGTGAGATCAATCCTTCTCGGATGAGTTCTTCCAAATCTATTCCTCACCAAAATAAACGAGACTCTTTAAAATGTATCTATTATGTGATCTATTTTGTAATGATCTGCTGTCATGCTTCCAATACCAATATACAAATCATGACCTTCGGTTTGACATCGTTGTTCTCGGCGAATTCGTGAGCAGACCTTAGGGAACTATTAGTAAAGAAAGTAAAAGCCCACGTGAATTTCTATTGTATATTTTTATGTTTTTAAAATTAACATCTCTCTGTAAATCAACACACCACCAATTGGTACCAATATTATGAGTATGAGTACAAGATCCCTGATTATAATCACTGTCAGTATTACCATCTACAGCTAACGATGACAAAGCAGTAGAATATGTAGAGCTCTGGGCGGTGTTTGGTCCCAATGCAACATTTTCTTCACTTTAAATAAACAGTTTGTTTACGACGATAGTCCAGATACGACGATTTAATGAAAACTTATTTTTACAGATATTTTACAGATAATCAATGTACATATAACCCAAGAAAATATCATAGACAAAATTCTAAAAAAAAATATGTTTATAGCACTTTCATTTTTTCAGACCTAAGATACTGTATATTATGTATCATATTTCTGTAGAAGTATCATATTTAGTATAAATAAAGAAGCACAGTCTATAATTCTTCCATTCTCTGGGCGTTGCAGCAGTTTCTTGAGATAATAGTATTAGAGTGAATGATATCAATCAATAATAAAAATAAATTCTATAGAAAATGTTTTTTCTTACCTCGAACAATGTTTAAAATATTGATAAGAATCAAACATAGATACAAAAGAATAACAAATATATTTATACTTCTATCCATGATGAGACACTCTGACTTGACACATACTGATTTGATTAATATAATCTAACGAAGACGAAGAAGTAAAAATAAAACCAATATGTTTTAAAATGTTGGCTGATACAAAAGTACAGCTGATATGCTATTTTCATACGCCCATATTTTACTTAGTTACAGATACTATTAACCAAATAAACCATCACTGAAAGTCTTCACCAAACTAGACCAACCACCCATCAATATGATCATTCCGTTCATAGAACCTACTTATAGTTACCAATTCAGCAGATCCATCAAACGAGCAATCAATATCCCCACAAGATTTTCAACTAAAGCCAGCCTCAAAACGTTAATTTAAAGTCAATGATAGAACAGAATCCACAACCCCAAAGATAGACATGGAAAAGGACATATTTCATAAAGTGCAATTGTGGCGCTGCGTACATTGGTGTAAGTAAACTACCACTGACGATGAGAATACGATATCTTGCAATACGAGTAATGGGAAATCAGCCTTAAGCCAGCATCGAGAACCCAAACCACATCATTTAATGGGACCAATCTGAAGTCCTTCTCACAAACCTCCCTGGTGATGCAATCGGAAATACAGCCTGCACTCAACAGAGACCAATGATACTAATTGTCTAGAATATGCGATACTGTAATGTTGTGATTAGTGCTCAATAATCTTTTAGTCTTTTGATCTTTGCGACCTACTGTGTCTTCATGTATTATCTGATGTCTTCTGTTTGGCTTCAAACATTTATCTGTTAATTACCTTTATTTGATCTTTATTTTACATACAATATTCCCTTTGACATGTCTTCACCCTTGCCATTGTTGATGTTGTTACCTATAATTACTTGTATTGTTTGGATCAACTTATTTCCGATGACGGTGCGGGAACCATATTGAAATATTGAAAGTAAAGAACTACTTTAGGAGTATCTATGCATAAAATTGTGTCATTTACATATAATATAAGGCTTTCAAATAAAGATAAATAGGGATACAAGATACAGATATTTACATAAAAATCAAAAAATGTGATTAGAAAGGTACAAAATAAGTTAAAACACTTTAGGAAAATAACAATGAATAAGAGTGTGCTTATTTAGCCTTATTATAAATATATGTAGGCTACATAGATATAGATAAAGATCAAAACGTTTGAAAAACGATATGATAGACGAGATTGTACTAGTTTATTTTTAGACTTGATCTGCCAGTCATAAGCTCATATTACATTTAATACAATAGACCTACAGACTACAATTATATTAAATATGAAAACCCAATGCACTAAAATCTTACTTAAACAACGACTACCAGGAATATTTCTTCGAACCATTTTCAACATAACATGTTATTCAAAATTCAATTTCAATAGCATTCAAGAGAATATCAATTTCATTCATTAATAGTAGGCCTAGTCATTTTTGTAAATTATAAATCTTTACTTTATATTTCTTTCAATTTTATATTTCGACTATATAATATAATGCTTTGTTACAAAAATACACTAATAGATAGCAAAAAATATCAAACATAAAAGGTATTCCTTTGATACATCTCTAAATAAACCTTTACTATTTTATCTGACAAAAAAGACAAAGATCGTAAGTTAAACATACTTTCCTCCGAGAAATATCATTCGAATATGCCTTTGTTGATATCTTTACCAAAGCAAAATTATTCTTCTATTAGACTTACTGTGTAGTAAGACAAAAACAAAAACCGAGAAGAAAACAATGCTATTTCTAGGGTAGGAACATTTTTGCATCCTCTACCGAGTTCAACTTTTATACTTTTAAATTTGTAGCCACGATTCCACAAATTTGAAAACGGACTACCAACTCACAACAGTAATTGGTACAGGTGTGTCAGTGTTTTAAGTTACATTGTATTTTTCGTTAACTTCTGTCTGTAGTAAAATGATGATAGTTCAACATGAATTAGCATAATTAGAAAAATTATCCAGGTATTCTCCAATTGCTTCAAAACAAAATTGAAACTGTTCCTGCAAGATATGAATTGGTTTACTATTTAATACATAAAAACGAATGTTATCTAAAAAAGATGTTTACTAATAAATTTAACCACAATGTGGCTTTATAAAATAATTATCAAAATGAAGATGCAGAGGTCCAAAAGTTTAAGAACTTGTCCATATTACTGATCGACTGATCAACTGAATTTGACCCGGAAAACACTGTGTGAAACGGTTGTTTCTTAACGACAAGTGGCACTCATAACAATAATCTCTGTCCTTAAGTCTCTTTCATGGCAAATTCTTTTTCGTTGTTAAAATCTGCGGTATTGTCGACAATCAATATCTTGATCAATTGTAAATATCATTAAGCGTATATTGATACAAAATTCGCCGTTCCAAATACTTTGGCCACAAAAAATAAAATGTCAACTTACAAAAGAATTGATAATTTCTGGTCTAGATATACGTAGTTGTAAAATAGTTTGAATAATGTTAACATCTTGTTCTACTGTTAACCTTTCTAATATAGCAGCTAAAACACACAACAGTCCACTTTTATTGGCACCATTCCTGAAAGAAATTTCATATTATTACCATTCGTCCATTTCAGAAGAATTCAGATTAGAGAAATGTACTATCAGTGAAATAGTGTGTTTCTTAAAACAGTCGTGGGTTGACTTTGTCTCATCATATCGTTGTATCGTTAACATTGTCATAAAAGATGACAGTGGTAATAAGTCAATTTTAATGAATGCCAAATAACTGTGTCCCCAATTTTTTTTGTATATATGGTAATTACATAGTTATATTTCGTGAAGATACTCACAAACAACTGACTATCAGAGGACCACTATTATTTATACTGGAAATCTCTTCTAATAAGGTGAATATTGACATTGAACTTTCAGGTATTTTCTTCTGACCTTTCCAGAAATGACATTGATATACTTTTACAGTTCTGTTTATGTTATCCTGAAAAGTAAATACGATTGTATTTAAAATATATGTAGATTATAATAATAATTATGTATATGTCTTACATCTGCATTGTAAACTTGTTTTGTAAGTTTAATACTTATGTATTTTTATTTGATGTATATTGCGCATAATTATTCTAGAGTACATATTATTAATCCAAAGAAGTGAACTGAAATTCAGTTAAAGTTTTACACAAGACGTTTCTGTATCAACTGTGCTTATGATGGACATTGGTATGCTATAAGCAGAGAGGGAATCAATGTCAGGACAAAATACTCTTTTCGGTTTCCAAGTACTCGAGACCACAATGTTCGATTAGCCATTGGTAAAGAAAACATAAATACTGTAACAATACAATTAAATAAAGATAGACTATAACTTTTTACAGCTAAATGGCAGTTTAATTTTCCCCTAAGACGTAATCCAGTCTAATTAAAATTAAACCAACTTTTCGTTCGTTTTTTTTATTAGCTTAGGGTCTAACGACAGCGCTCCCAAACGTTTGTCAAATCAACCCTTTGACCTAAATGACCTCTGCTTTAACCAATCAATTTTCTACCCTCTCCAGAGCTTGCATTTTGTGACGCGGTGTTTATCACGTTAGATCACAAGGTTAATTTGATACATTCAACACGTTAGATCACAAGATTAATTTGATACATTCAACATTCATTATGGCTTTCGTTAGACACTAAGTAAAAGCTAATAAAAAACGCAACGAAAGTTTGGTCTCATTTTGATAAGACTGGAATGTAATCCAACATGTTCACGATTGATGTCCTTTTGATTTAGTCGATTTTCATGGTGAAGAATTACTTTGGCATCTACAGATCTACTGAAACTCAAATATTTCCATATCAATATCAGTATACTCACTGATTCTTGAGATATTTCACAGGAAATAACATCATAATAGCCATGACTATTTTTATCTTCTTTTCCTCGTTTTATCACCATTTCATCATACTTCACCTCTGTTTTAGGTATATATTCACCAATATTCTATAATTAAAATGATAAATAACTAATACTAAACACTAAATTCTCACCTTTGTGAAAAGGCCAAAAGTCATCCTGGCTTTTTGAGAATTTCCTTTAGACTTGATTACTTTACTATATTTTTTTTATATTTCAAATACAAAGTTACCTTATTTTAAATGAACTATTCATTAGAAGGATATCTTAAAATACTACAGTTATATTCTATTTATATTTTAAATGTATGATAATAACAGAACTTCTATTAGCAAGAAGATCCTAAATTCACCAGGGCTCCTAAATTTAGTCGAATAATCTTCTTATTGAACTGAGTTTCAAAAGAATGTAATTCGCTTGAAATAATTACATTTTCTTTTTTGTCATCTAAAGCTATGATCACTTTTGTCTCTGAGTTAAAAACCATTAACCAGAAATCTTCTACTGTATTTGGTAGAGGTGTTTGAGTAGCAATATAACCTCTTTTTTTCTTGTAACTCTGAAATGAATTAAAACAGATTATCCATGTATGGACATCTATGACATAAACGTAGGGAATAAAAATTCAAAGTCTCAAACTTAGCAAAACAGTTTATATATTCACCAGAGTTCGACTTAGCTGGTGCCATGACTAAACGATAGAATCTCGAAGTAAGATGTTACATCCATTAAGAAATTATTGTGCTTAGTTTAATATTGGATTATAGAGGGATTATGTTGCATAGTTATGAATATAGATTCATATTGGAAATGTTTAAACATTTATATTTATGACCCACCATGCATCCAGCGATGCCCTCTACGATGCCCTCTACGATGCAGTCTGTGAACATTTAAAAGACTCCGAGTAAATGCTCTCAAATGCAATGATGAGATTGAATTCGCAGCTTTTCCTTCATACAATCTCTGATAAAAATTATTTGCGGAATGAATGATGATTTTTGATCAAAATGCACTTGAAAAAAAAAACGTTAATTACCGGAAGATAAACTGCGTTGATATAATCGGAAGAATTCTCATAGGCTGATCTCATTATCATCAATCTAGCAGAATTACCTGAAATATAACAGACGATATTTTACTATGTTTTAATTTCTACAATGGAGACAACTGGTTAAAAAACTTAATTTTAGCTCTAAGAATGGTTGGTAGATGACAGGTTAACGTTCCTTCAAGCGGATTCTGATATAGTGAACTAGGAAGTTGTGGGTAGTCGTTGTAGTTGGTAGGTGGATTGGATGATTCTTTTGATTTGGTAGTTGATATTTCATGAGATCTAGTCGGGTCGAATGGCATGGCGGTGAAACTTGGACCTGGACGTTTTGGCGTGAGTTTCCCGGTCTTCTTCATTATTCCAAACTCGTTGTAATGGTATTAGTTATTGCTGATTATCATTGATTTGGTTCGGTTCAGTTATCTGATAATATTAGCTCTTAAGATAGGAGAGCTACTTATACTCTTGTGGGGTTTCATAAAATATATGTACATCTGTTCAGGATCGGTGTTTCGGACTACCTGTAATGTTCGTGAACGTTGATCCGAAAGAACACAAACATTACTTGGTTATTGAAGACAACGAAACTGGACTTACGTATGCTCAACACTGTCACATCATCATTTGTCATCGTTCATGTCCATGGAATAAATATTTTAGAAATATCGCATCTCATCGAATTTTTATTTTCATCGCATCTCAAACAACATCCATTCATGGAAAACTAGAATTGTACTATTTGATTATCATTCTGTTGAAAACTGTTAACAGTGAAATTATATCTTTCCTCGCGTTAATGACATTAGCTTAACATAATTGTCATTTAAACAACAGAGTAATTGTAATCAATATTGAAATGAAATTATACATACCAGCCAAGACATTTTGATCTCTATTTTTATTTATATTTTCTGGTTTAAGAGCTTCTGAGTAACCATCTTTATCTATCTTACAACTTATTTTATTCATCAACTAGATCAAAGACATAGTTTAAATTGTTATGAATCAAATATAGAACCACAACTAGTTTTATTTTATGATTTAAATATGTGAGGCTGACGAATTTATAACACTTGTAATTCAGATTTGAGAATAAAGTGGGATAAAGCCTGCTATTGAGACATACATTCAGGCAAGTATCTAAAAGTTATTTTAATTTCAAGATTAACAAAGAGAAGAAACATAAAAGAAGACAGCAAGGTAACGTACGCCCACTACCAGCTGTCGGAAATGATAAAATCTTTAGTGGCTTGATTATGAATTTTCAAATAATGTTTAAAGTATTTATAAACTGTAGGGAAAACCTCAAAAACAGTTCATCAAATTATCATCAAATTCCATCATGATCAAGGTCTCATCGACGTACACACAAGGGCAATAACTCTGAAACTGTTCATCCGAATAATACCAATTTCGAACTGGACCGAGATCTCATCAATATATATATACATACCAAGCTCCATCAAGATTGGATCCAAACTGTAGTCTCTATCGTGCCTACATGCCAAATATGACGCATTTTTAATAAGTCAGGGACAATAACTCTAAAACAGTTCATCCGATTATTAACCAATTTTGAACTTGACTGAGATCTAAAAAATATACAATTATATGCATACCAAGTTTCACCAAGATCACCGATATCGTGCCTACAAGCCAAATTCGACATGTTTTTACAAAGTCATAGGCAATTACCCCGAAATTTGACGCATTTTTAATAAAAGGATAAAAGTAATAAAAGGGCAAAAACTCCAAAACCGTTCACCCAATTATAACCAATTTCGAACTAATAAATATATACACATATGCACACCAAGTTTAATCAAGATCGGACAAAAACTGTAGTCTCTTTCGTGCCTACAAGGGATGTGGACGGACCGACGGACGGGAGCGACGGCAATATACGTCCACATTTCCATGTGGGCGTATAAAAATCGCCCCAAAACACAAATCATACCTGATATTTATGTTGTAATTGTGATGTATTATTATGTTTATCTTGTTGTAGAAGTTGATTATATATTTGAGGATAATTTGTTATTGATGTTGTTGTATCATCAGCTATATACCAAACTGTTAGAGCATCATGAAGCAAGATGTACTGGTCCTGACAAAGAAACATAATATTAAAACTGGTGAACTGAAGGACACCTAGCATAGTCAAGCATTGATCAAGAGCTTCGACTTTTCTCTTAAATGTCCGATTTCTTATGAAATTTCACACATTAAATGTATAATGTTTTCTGTTAAGCGTGTCTTTGTCTCTTAATTTGGTGGCCATTGTTTTAATTGTTCCCAGCTAAATTACGAGATTCAAATTATTTTCCGCATATTCTCCATATAAATTTCTGATCTTACCAGAGTCTGAACCATGTTAACTCTTTCTTGTCTCATCTGTGATACACAAGAAAAAATATCTACAGAATTTTCAGCTTGAGCTTGTTGTATCAGATAATCTAAAGCTAAATATGTTCCAGTTCTACCAATACCAGCACTGAAAAAACAAACAATTTCGCACAGTCAGAAATGTTAGAGCCAATACATGTTTTTAAATACAACAGACCCAGGGCATATTATAACGTATAAGTGTTTATATTCCATATTCATTACGTCAATAATTTTAACCTTTATTTATTAAAATAAAAATCTGGCAAGCATCCGTTATTGAAAAAAATGCGATATAAATGTATTGCAATGTAAGATCAGGCTAAATGTAGTTTCGTGCATCTACTGAAACAGGGCTTGCTCGATCTTTGCAAAAACGTGTTGCGCGGGAGTTTATCTATTCCGAATTCCCACGGTATAACTAGTACTCTCCTTTGGTAGGCCTATATTTATTTCGTGAATTTAAATGAAAGCAGAAATTGCATTATATGTATATCTTAACAATAAAAAAATATAGAGTACCTGCAATGAACAATCATGGGACCTGAACGTTTGGATGATGACTTGTTGACTTTATTACGGAATTCGACCAATGAAGCAATATCAGATGGTACACCTTTATCAGGCCATGATGTATAATGATATTGTCGGAATATTCTTGAATTTGAGTCCTGATATAATAAAAAAAAAGAAACACTGGATTTAGTCGTCCAAAGTTCGCAAACGACTGAAAAATCACAGTTGCCAGCAGTTGCTCTTATTCAATGTCTATCAAATGTCGAACTGAGTGGATCAAATTGATCTGAATTCCCAAAACTGGGTCAATTTTTTCATGTACTGGAAAACGTTTAAATATAAAAGCTCAATCACTGAAATATTATACCTTGGTTATTTGTATTTCTCTTATTGTGAAATGGGCATAAACCTCTTCCTTTATCAGTTTCATGTAAATTTGACCAAATTGTTGTGTTTTACCAATATCTGGCCAATACTGCTTACATTTCTCCTGAAATAATATAAAGTATCATCGTTTTTCTTAGCATCCCAACTGTTATCTATTAACACAGAATTTGTTACACCAGGTGATAATGCTGCGAGTATCACATTTCAAAAGCAAAATTCATCATGCTCCTCTTCCATTTCTAGATAATCGTACACAGGACAGCCAGCATTTTCACGAGCTGGTATCGCTTATGACAAAATGATATTGAAAACATCTTTACTGGAAATGACCACAGTTTGTTAATCCATGCGATTACAACAATTGTAGGACAAGATAACGTAAGATTATATTGTGTACAGCGACAACCCATTGAGGCGACTTTATGCACTAAAAAACTTGCACATAATAATTTAGAATATTGAGATTGTAAATGAATAAAAGACAATTGATTTTGATTTCATACATACAATTGCGTTTTCAAACAGATTTGTTAACATAACTATTTTACTAGCATCAACATCCCATATCATTCTTATAAACTCTTCCATATTAACTCCAATCGGTCCTGGAATATGATAATATAATGACATTAAATCTTGCCTTCAAACCTACTTCCAGGATGGAAAGGTACAACGATTATTCGAAACATAAATATGAGAAACAATTCATATGACTATCAATCGTAATTGTTGTTTGTCGGTGACAATATTTATATTGTAAGATTATAAACGGTTACTCATTTCCTACTATAACAAAACGGAAAAAAAAGATTCATTTCAAAGAATTACTTCTTTCAAAGACAATTTAGTTTCAGCAATAAAAGTTTTACTGGAAACCAACACTTTACCTTGGGATGCGATATACTTCAAAGTCTGATCATATTTCTATAATATAAAAAATATGCAAATATTTTGTGTGTGAATTGTGCGTAAACGTGTTTTTTTAGTTTAAACCAATAACTTATACAAATTGATAAAACTTACAGTGATAAAACACACAATGACATATTCTAAATCACTGTAAGTTAAAACTATATCTTACAGTAATATAACAGACATTGATATAATCTGAATTAAGATCATTATCAGTTAAAACTATAACTTACAGTAATATAACAGACATTGATATAATCTGAATTAATATCATTATCAGTTAAAACTATAACTTACAGTAATATAACAGACATTGATATAATCTGAATTAATATCATTATCAGTTAAAACTATAAATTACAGTAATATAACAGACATTGATATAATCTGAATTAAGATCATTATCAGTTAAAACTATAACTTACAGTAATATGACAGGCGTTGATATAATCTGAATTAAGATCATTATCAGTTAAAACTATAACTTACAGTAATATAACAGACATTGATATAATCTGAATTAATATCATTATCAGTTAAAACTATAACTTACAGTAATATAACAGACATTGATATAATCTGAATTAATATCATTATCAGTTAAAACTATAAATTACAGTAATATAACAGACATTGATATAATCTGAATTAATATCATTATCAGTTAAAACTATAACTTACAGTAATATAACAGGCGTTGATATAATCTGAATTAGGATCATTGTCAGTTAAAACTATAACTTACAGTAATATAACAGATATTGATACAATCTGAATTAATATCATTGTCAGTTAAAACTATAACTTACAGTAATATAACAGATATTGATATAATCTGAATTAATATCATTATCAGTTAAAACTATAACTTACTGTAAAATAACAGATATTGATATAATCTGAATTAGGATCATTATCAGTTAAAACCATATCTTACAGTAATATAACAGACATTGATATAATCTGAATTAAGATCATTATCAGTTGAAACTATAACTTACAGTAATATAACAGATATTGATATAATCTGAATTAGGATCATTAGCAGTTAAAACTATAACTTACAGTAATATAACAGATATTGATATAATCTGAATTAGTATCAT